CACCAGCGGGGAAGGCACCCGGATCCGCCGGCTCCGGTATCTCAACGAGACCATAATCGCGGTCGAGGAAATCTGGCTTGACGGAGATGCCGGATTTGTAAAACGGGACCTGCTTTCGGACTCGCTCTACAGGTTCTATCAAAAGCATCTCGGCTTTTGGATCGTGCGTGCGGAAGACCGCGTTACGATCGGCAAGGTGCCTGACTGGGCGCCGGAAGAATTCACCCTGGAACCCGGCACGCTCACGGGTTTCATCGAAAGGTTCAGTTGGGCGGACCGCCCCGAATCCGTCGAATATTCACGCACCTGGTTCGACACGGGCAGGGCACATTACGTACAGCGGTTGAAATAGGCTGGTCGCAGAAACCGGCCGCAAAAGGAGACATAAATGCCTGCGAAGGTAAGATACGGTGTGATCGGATGTGGAATGATGGGGCAGGAGCATCTGCGCAATATCGCTCTGCTGCCAGACACCGAAGTCACGGTCATTTTTGAACCGGACACGCATATGGCTGAAGCGGCAGCGGAAATCGCACCGGCTGCAAATTTCGTGGGTTCGGTCTCCGAATTGCTGGACGTTGATGAGTTGGACTGCATCCTTATTGCCAGCCCGAACCATTGCCATGTTCCGCAAATGCAGGAAATCCGTCAGAAAAGGCCTTTGCCCTTGCTCGTGGAAAAGCCGCTCTTTACCGATCCCAGGGAGCAGGCCGAACTGGAGACATTCAAGGCAACATATCCGGCACCGATATGGGTGGCGATGGAGTATCGCTATATGCCCGCGATTGCGGCTCTGATCGCAAGGACCGGGGAAGTCACGGGCGGCATCAAGATGCTGACCATCCGCGAGCACAGGTTCCCGTTTCTGGACAAGGTGGGCGCCTGGAACAGGTTCAACCGGTATTCAGGCGGCACTTTTGTTGAAAAATGCTGCCATTTCTTCGATCTGATGCGTCTGATCATGAAGTCGGAACCTGTCCGCGTGATGGCGTCAGCGGGTCAGGATGCCAATCACAAGGATGAAGTTTATGACGGCGAGCGGCCGGACATACTCGACAATGGTTTCGTGATTGTCGATTTCGAGAACGGATCCCGTGCCTTGCTGGATCTTTGCATGTTCGCGGAAGGTGCCAAATATCAGGAAGAGGTTGTCGCGGTCGGTCCGGAAGGCAAGATCGAGGCCTTTGTGCCCGGACCTGGCCGGTTCTGGCCCGAGGACCTCGGAGATCCTCCAGTCGCACAGCTGGTCGTGTCGCCCCGTAGTCCGAAAGGTCCGCGCAGTCTGGATATTCCGGTCGATCCGGCACTTCTGGACGCCGGTGATCACAACGGTTCGACCTACTATCAGCATGAGCGCTTCCTGGCACTGGTGCGCGGCGAAATTGAAACGCCCGAAGTCAGTCTGGAAGATGGCAGACGCGCTGTTGAAATGGGGCTCGCGGCCCAACAATCCGCGCGCTCTGGGCAGGCCGTGATCTTGTCCTCTCCCGGTCTTTCCTCGGTTGCCTGCTGATCCGGCGTTTTTAGCAGAAAGACGATTGCCGACTTCTCGGGAGACCAAATCCTTGCAATCCTGTTGCCGGTGCGGCTGATGCCGCCCGGCCTTTTTCCTACCAGCGATCCACCGGTCGGACGATCTGAGGTGCATTGGTGCTGAAGCCGTCGCGTCCCCGGCGCAAATTGTATTTTTTTATCGCGACCTGGTAATTCCGACCGCTGTGCGACTTTCGGCATTGCTTCGTCCTCAGCGCAATGTTGTTGGGCACGCCGCTGTGGTCTTGCACGAGCACGCAGAAGACGTCGTAGCGTCCGTTTATTGCGATGTTTCGCCGGGCTCCCTGGGCAACAACTACCTGACGATGGCGGCTGAAATTCGAATCGAAAAGCAGGAAATTACAGTATTTCGAGCTACCGTTCGGCGTGCGCGTGCTTTCGCAGTGAAAAACTTCCGCCGACGCGGAAGACGGTACAAAGAGGGCTGCAAACAGGGCAAAACCCGCACCGCTCAAGCAAACTCTCATCGCGCGACTAAGTGGAAACATTGTCAAAACCTCCGGGCCTTACAGCTCTACAAAATCTGTGTCATGGTGCTGTGAGGACAGAACTAACGCGGCGTCGTTTTCTATGCCTGTGACGCTGGGCACACTGAAAATGTGCGGCGCAAGTTCGTGCTCCGGTTGTTGGGTTGCAAAATCTGGCCATGTGGTCAAAGGGCGCAGCCGGTGTTGTAAACAAATGCATTTTCCGCCTTTGGGAGGGCCTGATGCGCAAGACTATTTCCGTGATTTTGTCTTCAGCATTGATCATTCAAACCGTATTCGTGAACGGCGCGTTCGCCGCACCAGCGGTGACGACGGCAAATGTGAATTTCCGGCAGGGACCTGGAACCGGCTTTGGGTCGCTCGGGACCGTGCCGAACGGATCCCAGGTTGAACTGGAGAACTGCGACGACACCGGTGCCTGGTGCTCCGTGAGTTTCAATGGTCAAAACGGTTTTATTAGCGGTCAGTATCTTCAACTGTCTGAAGCGGAGCAGACGACGGGATGGCCGCGGTCTTTTGAAACCGACGGCGGTGCGACCCTGATCCTCTACCAGCCGCAATTTACCGAGTGGGACAACTTCAAGACGCTCAAGGCGCTGATTGCCGCCGAATATGTCAAGGACAAGGAAGCTCAGCCGGTATTTGGCGTGATCGGTGTCAGCGGGAGCACGCTCGCCGATCCGGCACAGGGTGAAGTCGAGGTCAGCGACATACAGGTCACGCAGCTGGATTTCTCTTCACTCGACAGGACCTCCCTGACGGATCTGACGCTTCAAGTCGGAAAGATCATGCCGACGGGAACGATTACCGTGAAAGAGGACAGGATCACGGCCGGTCTGGCGGAATACAAGCGCATGGAAGACGTGAAGGGATTGAATGCTGAAGCACCGCCCATATTCATTTCGACCGAGCCTGCTATCCTGGTTCAGACCGAGGGTGCGCCCATCATGGCACCGGTCAAGGGTGATCAGGGGCTGAGTTTCGTCGTCAATACCAACTGGGACATACTCAAGATTGACGAAACCGAGGAATTTTACCTGCGAGACGAGAAGTCCTGGCTGAAGACCAAGGATGTTTCCGCCGGCTGGGAAATCGTGTCCGAATTACCGGACCTGATCACGAAACTTCCCGATGACGACAACTGGTCGGAAACCCGTGCAGCCATTCCGCCGCAGGCGTTTGCAGACAACACGGCGCCCAAGGTGATCTATTCCGACAAACCGGCCGAAATGATTGTTTTTGAAGGGGAGCCGAAACTGGAACCGGTCGAAGGTACCGATCTCGAATGGGCATCGAACACGGACAGCGACGTGTTTTTCCTGAAAACAACTTCGACCTGGTACATTCTGGTTTCGGGACGCTGGTTCAAATCGGCTTCACTGGACGGGCCCTGGGAATTCACGACACCTGACATGCCGTCCGATTTCCAGAATATTCCCGAAAATGCGCCCTACTACTCGGTTCGGTCTTCCATTCCGGGAACATCTGAAGCCTCGCAGGCGCGCTTAAAGGCGAGCATTCCGACGACGGCACGCGTGGAAGTCGGTTCTGTCAGTGCAGATATTGCGTATGCAGGAGACCCGGAATTCCAGTCGATCGACGGCACATCCATGTCTTATGCGGTCAACACCAATGACCAGGTCATCCAGGTCGGCGCCAAGTACTATGTTCTTCAGGACGGTGTCTGGTTCGTGGGCGACAGCCCGGAAGGACCCTTTGTTGTCGCGACCGCCGTTCCGGATGAGATCTACACCATCCCGCCGTCTTCACCGGTCTACAACGTGACGTATGTCCGGGTTTACGAGAGTGAACCGAATGCCGTCTGGTACGGCTACACGATGGGATACCTGACCGGTTTCCTTGCCTGGGGTGTCTTTGTCTACGGCACGGGCTGGTATTACCGGCCGTGGTACCGCCCGGGTTACCGGCCGATCTATTTCCGGCGCCCGGTTACCTACGGCATCGGGGCTTTCTACAACCCTGTTCGCGGCGTCTACGGCCGCTACGGATATGCCTACGGACCCCGGCGCGGCATCGCGGGTGGCGGCATCTACAATCCCCGCACCGGCGGATACATCCGTGGAGCGGCTATCAGCGGTCCGCGCGGCAGCGCCGGCTTCATCACCGCCTATAATCCCCGCACCGGCAACCGGATCGTCGCCGGTGGCGCGCGCGGTATCTATGGCTCCTGGGGGGGAGCGGTGGTGTCCGGACCACAATGGTCGCGCACGCGGGATATACAGGCAGGAGCCGCCAAGAGGTGGAAAGAAGACGGCAATCTCGGCCGTGTCGGCAGTCTCGACCGCAGGGGTGACGTATTTGCAGGGCGTGACGGGTCGGTCTACCGGCGTGATGGCGAGAACTGGCAGAAGTTCGAAGGCGGGCGCTGGGGTGAAGTTGCAGCGCCGTCGAGGGAGAACATTCAAAACCGTCTGGGAGATGTTGGTGCCGGCGCGGCAATTGGAGCCGGCGCCGGAGCAGCGATTGCCAACCGTCCGGCAGGCGATCGCCTGCAGAACCGGCCGAATGCCGGGCAGGGCAATTTGCAGCGCCCGCAAAATCGCCCGGCAGGCCAGCGCCCCAATGTGAACCGTCCAGCGGGCGAACGTCCGACCAACTTGCCGGCTGCGCAACGGCCGAATGCACAAAAACCGGCACAAAGGCCAGCTGCGCAGCGCCCGAATACGCAAAGACCGGCGACACGTCCAGCCCAGCAGACAAGACAGGCGCCGGCGCACCTGAACAGGGACCGGAAGGCCCGGACCTCTGGAAACCGGCAGGTCAACCGTCAGCGGAATGTCCAGCGAAACCGTCCACAGCAGGCCCGGCCACAACAGGCACGGCCGAATCGTGGCGGCGGCGGCGGTGGGCAGCGCAGGGGTGGTGGTCACCGCAGGCGTTAAGGTCGTGCGGTGTCAGGCAATGTGACAGAGGTGCCAACACCACTTCACCGCTTCGCTAAATCGGCAGATCGCGGGCGTCCGCGATCGCCTCCATGGTCATGTAGGAGGTGACTGTGTCCAGATCGACTTTTTCGATCAGCCGCTGATAAACGCGATCAAAGGCATTCATGTCCTCGGCCACGACTTTCAGCATGTAGTCGTAATCGCCAGCAATCCGGTAAAAATCTATTACGTTGGGAATGGCCGAGACTTCCTTCCGGAATGTCGCGAGCCAGTCCTTGGAGTGATGTCTTGTTCGGATCATGACAAAGACGGTGAGGTTGAGACCAAGGCGTGCCGGGTCCAGCCTGATCGTGTGTCCCTCAATCAATCCACCTTCGTAAAGTGTCTTGAGCCGCCGCCAGCAGGCATTTTGGGAAAGGCCGACAGTTTCTGCCAATTCGCGTTGCGACAAACGTGCATCCCGTTGAAGCGCACGCAGCAGTGATCTGTCTATTTGATCGAGATTTTCTTTCATTTTCGATCAAATGACACAAAAACATGAAAAAATCAAAAGTATCAGGTGAAGAATACCAATCAAGATTGGTCATATGATCTCCGGATAGGATCCTGGAGAGACAAATGACACAAAAAACCGGAACGGCGATTGATCAATTCAACAGGTCACTGGATTGCCCGGACCTGTTAGAGCGCCTGAGGGCCGGTCTGATCGGGGAAGGGGCAAACGTGTCCGGTCCCATGGGTGAACACGAGATGATCTACGCCGATTACGTGGCTTCGGGCAGGGCCCTGCGTCAGATCGAGGATTTTGTTCTGGAGAAAGTTCTTCCCGTCTATGCCAACAGCCATACCGAGGCCTCCTATTGCGGCAGTGCCATGACGCGGATGCGCGAAGCGGCGAGATCGGAGATCGCCCGTATCTGCGGCGCGGACGGAACATATGCCACGGTGTTTTGTGGTTCTGGTGCCACGGCAGGATTGAACCGGCTTGTTCATCTCCTTGGTGTCGATGCGGCGGCACGGCAGGGGAAAAATCCCCTCGTCGTCCTTGGACCCTACGAGCATCATTCCGACATTCTGCCCTGGCGTGAAAGTGGCGCGGAAGTGATCGAGATAGGGGAGGCTGACACAGGTGGTCCGGACCTGGACGAACTGGAAAGCGTCTTGCAAGCAGCGGGGGCGGAGAGGCTCACCGTCGGTGCGTTCTCGATGATGTCCAATGTGACGGGCATCGTGACCGACGATCTTGCGGTGACGCGTCTCCTCAGGAAACATGGGGCCTTGAGCGTCTGGGACTGCGCCGGTTCCGGACCCTACCTTCCGATCGACATGCACGCTGGTTCGGATGCCCAAAAGGATGCAGTTGTCGTATCGCCTCACAAGTTCATCGGTGGTCCTGCCGCATCCGGTGTCATGATTGTGCGCAAGTCTGCCGTGAGAATGGATGCTCCGGTTTTTCCAGGTGGCGGAACGGTTCGATTTGTCTCGCCCTGGGGGCACGACTACACACCGGATATCGCGGCGCGCGAAGAGGCTGGAACACCGAACGTGATCGGTGACATACGTGCAGCGCTCGCATTTCTGGTGAAGGAAGCCATAGGTCAGGACATCATGGACGCGCGCAACGCCGCATGGCGCGAAAAAGCGCTGTCCAAGTGGCAGGAAAACCCTGCAATCGAGATCATGGGCAACCAGGGTGCCCGCCATATCCTGCCGGTTTTCTCCTTCAGGATGCGGGACCTTGAACGGGGCGGATACATTCACCAGCAGCTCGTGACACGCATGCTGTCGGACGCCTACGGTATCCAGGCGCGCGGCGGCTGCGCCTGCGCAGGACCTTACGCACACCGTCTGCTCGGTATTGAGCGCTCTGAGTCCGATATCCTCCGGCAAGGGATCCTGTCCGGCGAGGAACTGAAGAAGCCCGGATGGACCCGGCTGAATTTTTCAGTTCTGCTCACCAGCGAAAAGGCGGATAAGATCATAACTGCGGTAGATCATCTGGCGCGTGCGCCATATCCGATCGCAGACCGTTATACTTGTGACGAAACCACCGCGCGGTTCAATGCCGCTCGCGATGCCGCATAACGAAAGTAGCTGATATGTGCCGCTGGGCAGCCTGGAGCGGAGCTCCGAGATATCTGGAAGAAGTCATCTGCGATCCGGAGCATTCCCTGATCGATCAGAGTCGCAATGCCTTGTCCTGCAAGACGGCAGTCAATGCCGATGGCTTCGGCGTCGCATGGTACGGAGATCGGGAGACACCATGCCTTTACAAGGACGTGCGGCCGGCCTGGTCGGACCCCAACCTCCTGCAGATTGCGCGGCATATCCGCTCAAGACATTTTCTGGCGCATGTGCGTGCCTCGACCGGGACGGCGACGACACGCGACAACTGTCATCCGTTTACACATGAGCGCTGGACGTTCATGCACAACGGTCAGGTCGGTGGATATGAAAAGGTTCGCCGCCGGCTGGACAATATGATCCCGGACGACCTTTACGGGCATCGCATGGGTGGCACGGACAGCGAATGCCTGTTTCTGGTCGCGCTGGCTTATGGTCTGAATTTGCATCCGCGGGCCGCCATGGCCAGAGCTGTTCGCGAGGCGGAAGCCCTGTCACGGTATTCGGGCGTTGCGCCTCACATGCGATTTGCATCGGCCTGGTCTGACGGAACAACGCTCTATGCAGCGCGCTACGCGTCGGACAAGTTTGCACCGACGCTCTATTACCGGCAATTTGAAGACGGCATCATGGTCGTTTCAGAGCCCTTGGACGAAGCGAGAAATTGCTGGGTTGAGGTCCCGCAGGGCCACATGATCAAGGTAAGTGACGGCGCAGTGGAAGTGGTAGCCTTCCTCAGCGAGGAAGAACTCGCACACGCGTGAGCTCAATTGGCGTTCAGCTTTCGATCCAGTGCCAGGCCGTTTCTATCTCGTCCCTGTCGAAGTGCTTTTCCTGGATACCGACCATCTTGGCGAATGTCGCGTCAATCGCGACAAGGGCTGCCATAAGCTTGCCATCAGCCACGATCCCTACCTTGTGAAGGTGTTTCATGTGAGTAAGCACCCACTTGATGTCCGACGCGGCTGCTTCGAAGGAAATGCCGACATGCTCGCCGAGGACTACCAGGATGCTGATCTTGTCAAAGGCTTCGATCATCTCTTCGGCCTTTGCAATCAATTCCGTTTCCTGCTCGATATCGACTTTGCCGGAGATTTCGACGCCGAGAACCGGGCCATTGCTGCGGGGCAGGATCGTATACATGGGTGCATCCTCCGAAGTGAGCGGGCATTTCCGCTGCAGGAGGAAAATCCTAGTGCAATCCGGGAAAGGTGATCAAGCCTACCAGGCCGGTCCACACCCGGGGGTATGTGTTTGCTTCGCCGAAAAGATGCGTTCCGGGTTCAGTCGGCACTTTTCCTTAACTCCGATAAAATCTGAAGCGTATTTTCGTCCACGATATCGCGGATTTGCCGCGTCAGGGGAAATACATCCGTGCGCTCGCGTCCGTATGTCAGGTTGAACTCATGAAATTCAACGCTTTGGGGCGGCATCAGGTGGTGCTGCTTAATGGTTTCCAGCTTGTCGAATGCCTTGGCAAGACGCGCCTCGAGCGTTTCAGCCTGAGCGTATTCGTCCCACAGGACAAGAAAATCTCGTGAAACGTCTGCTGGCAGGCTGGCGCAAAGCGTCTGAAAATCGGCTCTTTCCCGCTTCTCCCGATCATCGCCATCGCGTTGCAGCGGTGCCGGAACGTCCCCGGAAATTGCTTCACCGAGGTCGTGTATCAGGCACAGTTTCATTAGCCTCGACAAGTCGACTCCCGCAAGTTCCCTTTCAAACAGAAGAACCATGAGTGCGAGCCGCCAGCTATGTTCCGCCGTGCTTTCCGGACGGCCCTGGCGCGTTGAGCCGGACCGCAGTGTGTCTTTCAACCTTTCTGCCTCCTGGAGAAAGGTCAGGAGTCCGGTCAGTCGTTGAGGCTGCATGGCCGCAGCTGGCATCTCGGGATCTGATATCGACATGGTGTCGATGATAACGTTCCCGCTGCAGCTTTTCGACAGTCTGAATAATTTATGCAGGTGCCTTTGGCTCATCCCGTACGAGGCGCGCAAATCGTCCGTCTGACAGGGCAAGTCGCGAAATCCGGATATCGCTTTCCGGTATTGTCAGTTCGGTGAATTCCGCGCGTTCCGTGCGGTAGACAATGTCGACGCCGCAGGGTTCGAACCAGCCTTTGTCCTCCAACTGGTGCTCGATACGGCGAATGCTCTCGGAAGCAAATTGCCATAAGGGCCTGTCCATCAGCTCCGAGACAGGCACGTGCCAAAGCCGCACGCGTTTCGGTGACGCGGCAAGAAGCCGGTGAGTCAGGTCGCAGACAAGGTGCACAGGCGTCGAGGCCTGCGTGACAAGGTCCAGAAGAGCACGATCTGACGCGGTTTCCGGACGAGCACGCAATAGACGCGTGATTTTCCGCCGGGCGCGGTCGTCGGGCTCGGACCGTCCACTTTCCCAACGTGAAATCCTGCTTTGGGAAACGCCCAGGTCTTCCGCAAGTGCATGCTGCTTGACCCGGTTGAGCACGCGCCACCTTCTGAGTGAAGGGCCCAGGCTCGATTGAAGAACGGCTGTATCAATAGTCATGCTTCGATTGTAGCGCCAAATGCCGCGCAGGGGGAGGCGGCAGCTCGCATTCAGGTTGACTTGAATGCCCTGCTGGACACCTGAACCGAGTTGCCGTCAGGATCCTTTGCATTTGCAAATTCATATCCGTCTGCCTGGTGAATGGAACCGAACTTCAATCCCTTGTTCGAGGCACTTTCATGAAAGGCTGCAACGTTCTCCACATCGAACACAAGCTTGACCGCAGCCTGGCCGAGCTTTTGCGCTTTGCCTGCCTTGTGAAGCAGCAAGTGCGCACCGCCATTTTCCGGCACCAGTTCGGTCAACCGGTCGGTTGGTGTCCTGATGGCTTTGAAACCAAAGAAGAATGCATAGAACGAGGTACTGATATCCACGTCTCGTACGTAAAGGATGATGCGATGGAGGCCGGCGGCAATCGGGGTCTCGACACACCGCGAACCGGTCTGCTCTGCTTCGTTCATTTTTTGAGTTCGCCTTGTGTGAAGGCGATCGAGGGATCGGAAGAATGCTCGACATTCTCGCCCGGAACCGTGACCCACTGATGCTTGCGGTGCTCATATACCGAAAAACGCGGACTTGGAAAATCCGGATCGGCAAACGCTCCGACCGGGATAGCCGTCACGCCTGGCCAGCCTTCGATCACAAAGGCGAGGGACGACCCGCAGGTGGGACAAAAGCGATAAGTGGCTGTGTGCCCGCTGTCGCAATCCCGTTGCCATTCTGAAAACTTGCCCGAAAGCGTGACATGCTCGTCCGGCCATCGTGCCTGAACGGCAAACACGCTGCCGGTCCGTTTCTGGCATTCAAGACAATGGCAGGCGGAGATGCGTACCGGTTCGCCTTCACACACGGCGCTCAGCTGTCCGCATCTGCACGATGCCGTTCGTTTCACCATCTATCGCCTCCAACGCGTTTCGACCTGCAGCAAAGCACTCGAGCTGGATGCGTTCAATAGGGGTGTTGTCGAAGACACCTATCGATATTTTTCAATAAAGGCATCGATCGGCAAGTTGCGGAAATCCGGCAAACGTTCGCGTAGTCGCTCATGGCTCCAGTCCCACCATGAAATCTCCATCAATGCGTCTTCCTGATTTTCGGTGAAACGGCGCTTGATCGGTTTGGCGGCCACACCGCCAACCACCGTATATGGGGGAACGTCCCGCGCGACCACCGCACCTGCAGCCACGATGGCACCCGTTCCGATGGTGACGCCGGCAAGCACGGTGACGTTGTGACCAATCCAGACGTCGTTTCCGATGGTCACCCAGTCGTCCTTGCGCCACTGAAAGAACTCGGTGTCGTCATCACCAAGACCATAGGCGGCCGCCCGATAGGTGAAATGGTGTTGGGAAGCGCGCCAGGTCGCATGGTTTCCGGGATTGAGCCGCACGCGGCGTGCAATCGAGCAGAACTTGCCGATGCTTGTCCAGACGACGTCGCCGTCCTGTACGATGTAGGAGTAGTCGTCCATCCGGCTCTCACGCATGTCGGTTCGCGCGCCGACCTCCGTCCAGATGCCGAGTTCGCAATTTATGATGTTGGCGTCCCGGTGAACATTCGGGCTTTCCGTGAGCGAGGGTTTTTGCGTGGGTGCGGACATCGGACCTCCTTCAAGTGCTGACCTTCCAGGCGAGTGCCTTTTAGCGAGCACAGAGTCTGTGTGCGTGAAGCTTTCATGACGTTGTCATGACGGCAGCCGCTAATTTTGCCTGTTGAACATCGTGGAAAACCACAAAAATCGGACAATCCCGTAAACAGCATCTCGAAATCAGGCCGAACCGTTCAGCGCTCATGAGCTGTAAATCGATTGCGCTAAGGATCGGTAAGAACGGATTGAATTCACTTAACCGGCAAAGCCGGAACAAGGATCGAAAGATCCATGTCATTGAACTGACGTAAATTCTTAGCCTCACTGTCAAGAACTCGTCATCTTTCTGTAATCGACGGATGGCTCATGTCGCCCAGCGTTATCAATCGAAAAAGAACAGGGCTGGCGCGTGATTCAGTTTCAGAATGTCACCAAGACTTTCGGGTCTCGGACTGCGGTCAACAAGGTCAGTTTTAATATCGACGAACCGCAGATGGTCGGCATAATCGGTCGGTCGGGTGCCGGTAAATCGACACTGCTGCGAATGATCAATCGGCTCACACCTGCGACTTCAGGAAAAATCCTGTTCGAGGGACGTGACATACTTCGCCTTCGAGGCGCGATGATGCGACGTTGGCAGCGCGATTGCGCCATGGTCTTCCAGCAGTTCAATCTTGTTCCCCGCCTTGACGTCGCGACCAACGTGATGCTGGGCCGGTTGAATGGCCACGGCACGTTGAAGAGCCTTTTCAATATCTTCGGCGAAGCGGATGTCGCGGATGCACTCCAGGCTCTCGATCGCCTCGGTATTGTGCAGGAGGCAACGAAACGCGCCGAAGAATTGTCCGGTGGGCAACAGCAACGGGTAGCGATTGCCCGCGCGCTGATGCAAGGCCCCCACATGATCCTTGCAGATGAGCCGATAGCCTCTCTCGATCCCATGAATGCGAAAATCGTCATGGATGCGCTTCGGCAAATTCATGAGCGCGACAACAAGGTTGTCATCTGCAACCTGCATACGCTCGACACGGCGCGTTCCTATTGCGATCGGGTGATCGGCATGCGTGACGGTTTCATCGTTTTTGATGGGAAGCCGGAAGAACTCACGACCACCGCTGCTCGTGAAATTTACGGCGCGGACGAAAGCTTCAACGAGGCCGCCACTTCCACAGCCATTGATGCCGGAAACACCGGCACAAGAGAATCCGTCGGTGCGATGACCCCGGCGGCAGCGGCAGGTTAATCCGCCTGCGCACAGATAAACGTCATCAGTTTCAGATCCCGGGGAGTGTCCCAAATGAAAATCGTTTCCAAAATTGCTGCGCTTGCTGCTGTCAGCATGATCGCTCTGAACGCTTCAGTTGCTGGAGCAGAAGAAATCACGGAATTCCGCATCGGTATTCTGGGTGGTGAAAACGCTTCTGACCGCCTGCGTGCTTACGAATGCCTGGAACAAAAAACCGCTGACCTGCTTGGTGTGCCGGTCAAACTGTTCGCACCAGCCGACTACAATGGTGTGATCGAAGGTCTGCTCGGCGGCAATCTCGACATGGCTTGGCTCGGCGCTTCCGGCTATGCGAAGGTCTTCATTACCGATCCGGAAGCTGTGGATCCGGTTCTGGTCAAGGTGAACGTGGATGGCGGCTACGGCTACTATTCCATCGGCTTTGCGCGCAACGACAGCGAGATCAACTCGTTGGATGACATGAAGGGCAAGGTCTTCGGCTTCGGCGATCCGAACTCGACTTCAGGCTACCTGATCCCCTCCATCGCCATTCCGCAGGAAGGCTACTCCATGTCTGCCGGCGAATATTTCGGCGACGTGGTCTTCACCGGTGGCCATGAGCAGACAATTGTTGCTGTTTCCAACGGCGATATCGACGCCGGTGTGACCTGGGCTGACGGCCTCGGCGAGTGGGAAGACGGCTACAACTCCGGTGCCTTGCGCAAGGCCTCTGATGCCGGTCTTGTCGACATGACCGAACTGCGCAAGATCTGGCAATCCCCGGTGATTCCGGAAGGACCGATTGTTCTTTCCAAGAAGCTGCCGGAAGACGTCAAGATCAAGATGACCGGCCTTGTCGCGTCCTTGAATTCCATCGATCCGGATTGCGCCTACAACATCGCTGCCGGCGAGACCAAGGGTTTCATGCCGATCACTCACGAGGCTTACGTCAACATTGTTGAAGCCCGTAAGGCGAAAAACAAAAACTGATCGGTTCGTCCGAACCGGAGCGCGGGCCGCATTTCGGCCTGCGTTTTCTTGCGATCTGCTTCAAAGGACATTGGTAATGGCTGTTGCCGCTCTCGAACAGGAAATCCTGTCCATGCGCAAACGCCGTCAGCTCTATTCTCTCATGGGAATTCTGCTGGTAGCGGCGGTGCTGGTTTCCGGATACTCGAAATCAAACGAGATGAATTCCGGAGGATTCCTGCAAGGCCTTTCCAAGTTCTTTGACTATCCGGGCGAAATCGTTGTGGAAGCGTGGCAGGCCGGGCCTGCCTTCTTCGGCCTGATCATTCAGTACGTACCTGCGATGCTGGAGACGCTGAATATTGCCGGGGTTGCGACCCTTCTGGGTGGCGCCATGGCGGTCATTCTGGCGATGGCGTCCACCCGCAACGTCGACAGCTGGGGCCCGCTTATCCCGGTCGTCCGGCGCATGATGGACATCATGCGAGCCTTTCCGGAACTGATCATTGCCCTTTTCCTGATCTTCGTTCTCGGATCCAGCCCGGTTCCGGCAATGATCGCGGTTGCCTTCCACACAGCGGGGGCACTCGGCAAACTGTTTTCCGAGGTCAATGAAAACATCGACCGAAAGCCGATAGAAGGCCTGTCTGCCTGCGGCGCCAGCTGGCTTCAGCGGATCCGGTTTGCGGTCATGCCGCAGGTCGCGCCGAACTATCTCAGCTATTTCCTGTTGCGGCTTGAAATCAACGTCCGTGCGTCTGCCATTCTGGGGTTTGTCGGTGCCGGCGGTATCGGCCAGGAACTGCGCCGGACAATCGGCTGGGGCAAGGGGGCAGGCGACGAAACAGCAGCAATCTTCGTGCTTTTGTTTCTCACCATCATGCTGATTGACCAGGTTTCTTCCTTCCTGCGCGGCAAGCTTGTCGGCGCCAGTCGCGCTCATTGAGGAGAACTGAGATGGCAATCGACACGCTCAATGAGCCGATCTTCAATCGGGATATGGTCTTCAGGAATGTACGTCGCAGAGCCTGGATCACGGTCGGTGCACCGTTGGCGATCCTGGCATATCTGACCTACACCTGGTTTGCCTTCAATGTGCCGAACCTGCTTGCCAAGGCACAGCCCGAGCGCGCGGCGATCCTTGCGACCGATTCCGTCGCCTACAAGGTTCACGTGACCAAGTTTCTGCGCCGCGACATCATGGAAGTCGCCATTGAAGGGGAACGTCGCGCAACCTATTCACAGGAAGACTTGCCCGAATGGGTTGAAGTCGACGGCACCGACGCCGTGATCGATCTTGGCGAGGGCTACGGGGTCACTATCGCCGGCAAGGTGATGGAATTTACCGTTCCTGACTATGGTACGATCAAGGTCACGGCGACCAACAGTGGTGTCGAGACCGAGCTTCCCGCCGGTCCGGTACCCGACTGGCTGAAGGACAACCCGAAAAAGCTCGATGCCAGACCCACGCTGGATCGTCGCGTGCAGGTTACGCGGACCAAAATTGAAGTGCATAACTATTTCGGCGGCTGGGAGAATTTCTGGTTTCCGTTTCACTCCGAACTCCACGGCATGTCCTTCAGCCAGCTTTGGGCAATAGCGCTCTCCAATGAGCGCCTGGATCCGAACAGGTCCAACATGTCGCTGATCATGCATGATTTTCTGGAAAATCCGGACTGGCAGCATGGCGAGGTCTTTGTGGCCCTCTTCGAGACGATCATGATGGCTGTGCTCGGCACGATCACCGCAGCCCTGTTCGGCCTGCCCCTGGCCTTTCTTGCCGCCCGGAATTTCACGCCGTCCAGGTTCTTGCGCTTCGGAACGCGCCGACTGTTCGACTTCCTGCGCGGCATCGACATGCTGATCTGGTCCTTGATCTTCATTCGAGCCTTCGGTCTCGGTCCGCTTACCGGCGCACTCGCGATTGCCTTCACCGATACCGGTTCCCTCGGCAAGCTTTTTTCCGAAGCACTGGAAAACATAGACAACAAGCAGGTCGAAGGTGTCAGGGCAACCGGCGCAAGCCAGATCCAGAGATACCGCTTTGGCGTGATCCCGCAGATCCTGCCGGTCTTCGTTTCCCAGGTGCTCTACTACCTTGAATCGAATACACGCTCGGCCACCGTGATCGGTGCCCTCGGGGCCGGGGGGATCGGCCTGATGCTGGTCGAGACTATGAAGACCTCGCGTGACTGGGAAAACACCAGTTACATCATCATTCTGACAATCGTCGTCGTGATCGTGATGGATCAGACCTCCAGCTGGCTGCGCCGCAAGCTGATTGAAGGAAGATAAGCCGCGCAAACAGAAAAGCGCGGCAGTTGCGCTTTTTTGCCCCCTATGGTCCGCTTGACCTGCAGGAGGCAAATACCATGCTGGATCACATCGGGTTGCTGATTGTTGACGTCCAAAGGGGCTTTGTTGCACCCGGGACGTCGCATATCCCTCGCATTGTCGAGAAGGTGCAGAACGACTATCGCCATGTCGCGGCATCGAGGTTCTTGAACAAAGTCAACTCGCCGCATCGCTGCTTTCTGGGTTGGAACCGTTTCCTGCCGGGCACAAATGAAACGGAACTTGCATTCAAGCCGTCACGAGAAGTTTTCGTTTTTGACAAGCCACAATACTCGGCCGTCTCGTTTTAACTTTTGCGGTGGGTTCATCTCAACAGTCTCTCGGAAATTCATCTTTGCGGTATCGATACGGAAATCTGTGTGCTGACGTCTGCCACGGCACTCTTTGAAGTCTCCCTCAAACCCGTCGTGCTGGAATGGGCCTGCGCATCAGGAGGTGGGCCCGATGGGCACGCGGCAGGACTTGTGGCATTGCGCCGTCTGATCGGGAAAGACAATGTCTGGGCCGATCAGTCCGGCACCAGTTTTTTCGATGGATCATGACCGCCGCGGTGCGCTGGATTATCCCTGATTGCCGCGACAGGCAGCCGTTGTATGTGGTTAAGTTCTCTCAGAACCCTTTTTCGCCGCATTTCCGTCGTGCCATGGTCACGACGATCGGCGGATGATTCAACGCGCGTGGAGGGGCTGATGCAGCAAGGCGGCTGGAAGAAACTTATTGCAGTGGTTCTCGGATCCGGGATTTGTGCCGGGTCGATGACCGGCGCAGCGTTCGCCATTGAAAGCTGTGTTTCCGCGCTCAAAAAGCAGGCCGTTTCCGCCGGGGTTCGGCCTGAAATCGCGGAGCGCATGCTCAAGGGGGCTTCCTTCGACGAAAAGGTCATCCGGTTTTCGACATCCCAGCCGGAATACAAGACTGAAATCTGGGACTACATGGCCTTCCTTGTCGACGCCGAACGTATCAAGGACGGCAAGAAGAACCTGAAAAAACACCGCAAGACCCTGACCGACATCGAAAAACGTTACGGCGTCGACCGTCACATCGTTCTTGCTGTCTGGGGAATTGAGAGCGACTTCGGTCAGTTCAAGGGGGATTTCTATACACCCCATGCTCTCGCGAACCTGGTTTGCGCGGGGAAGCGCCGCCAGAAATATTTCCGCGGCGAATTGATCAAGACCTTGCAGATTGCGTCGCGCGGTGACGTACCGGCCAGTGACTTCCAGGGGTCCTGGGCTGGTGCCTTCGGGCAGACGCAGTTCATGCCCAGCACCTACAACAGTCTTGCTGTTGATTTCGACGGCGACGGACGCAAGGATCTTGTCAATTCCGTCCCCGACGCCTTGGCTTCGACGGCAAATTTCCTGAAAAATGCCGGTTGGCGCGACAGCCGCGCATGGGGTTATGAGGTCAAGGTTCCCGCTGGATACTCAGGCCCTGCCGGTCTCAAGAAACGGGCGTCCCTGTCAACCTGGGGTCAACGGGGCTTGAAGAAGATCGATGGTGGAAACATCTCCGGCAAGACCGAGGCCGCACTGATCCGCCCGGCTGGTGCGAACGGACCGGGTTTTCTGGTAACGCGGAATTTCAACGCGCTTCGCTCCTATAATGCATCGACCTCCTACGGCCTGGCGATTGCGCTCCTGTCCGAACTCGTGTCGGATGGCGATCCTTTCAAGACACCGTGGCCGACAGACAATCCGGGTCTTTCCAGGGCGCAGCGGCTGGAATTGCAGAAGCTCCTCAACAGGAATGGCTTCAATGTAGGCGAACCGGACGGCAAGGTCGGGCCCCTTACGCGGGCCGGGATCAGAAAGGCCGAAGCCAAATATGGGCTGCCTGTTACCGGGCGACCGTCCTGGAATGTCTATAATTCTCTAGGTGGCAAGTAAGGACGCAGGAC